TGTGTGTTGTTTTCGTGTCAGTGACCAGGGGTGGTTGAGGAGAATGTCTGTGTCAGTGCTTTATTTTTTGTGTGTGGTCTGCCACTGCGTTCGTAGTCAGCCCTCCCAGCCGCCACAATTGGTCACATTTATATTTAAATAAACTTCCTTTACGCTTCTGCTGACATGAACTGACATTATCCAAAATATTTCCAATATTGTTCAAACTCAGAGAAAGAAGTTTGAAGATTATTCGGTCGATGGAAAATGTATATTTAGTCAATTTAAAATATTGATTTAGTCCATTTAGTCTTAAACTGAGATTCCAGATCAAAAGACCACAATTACCCATGAGGCTCCGTCACTGTTACGCAATGAAACAGTACACACAATTTAATTGCTATGTAGTAGAAAATAAAACTGCTTTTGTGCAACAATAACTAAGAATGATGATGCAAAATGATGATGATAGGAAGTAAAACTGAATGAGTAGAGGTTTAATAGACTTTTTATTGAGATGAATTTATAAAGAAAAAAATTATTTCAGCTGCAACTGCTTGGAAAACAATCGGAAATCTTAATCTCATCGCCAACACCGCGCCTATGTTTGAACCCCGGTCTGCGGCGGGTATATGAATAGCAACGGCAGGTTGGCGCAGCGTGTCTTGTTCCTGAGTGATGCCAACCTCCTCTGGCCTTCCTCCATCGCCCACTGATGCCCAATCTGCTCCTCTCATCCACAACCCATAAAGAGCCTGATGCCGATTAGCGCTCATCACGGAGACGGCTGACATTGACAAACGACCACACCGCGCCCGAACAACCTGTGACCCCGACCCCATCATTTAGGGTCGGGGTCTGTTCTGAGCCCACTGTAAAACACTTGTGATGAGTGTGCTGCTGTCGGATCAGAGTTTCTCCACAGTTGCATAAAAAGATGTGAATTAAATACATGCACCAAATTGCACAGTCCTTGATTTTTAAGATCCATGAAAACGTCAAAAAACGCCCTAATTCGCAACTTAAAGAAAAGTGAAAAACTTTCTGGATCCGCCCCCTGACCTGTACCACGTCCTTCCACCAAGTTTTGTGGAAAAGCATCTTGTAGTTTTTGCGTCTTCCTGTTTACTAACAAACCCACATAGATTAAAATATTACCTCCTTGGCGGTTGTAAATGAAATCAGCCTATAAAGTAAGAGACTCTCTGCAGGATCTCATCTTTGAGAGCTCATGCTCAGTTGGGAACCTTGTGCCAACCACACACACACACACACACACACACACACACACACAATGTTAATCGACCCCCTGAGGCTGCTGGAAAGTGAATCTTAATAATCACATCAGGGGGAGGGGGGTTGGAGCGAAGGGGAGGGCCGCTGACTTCTTTGACATCTCAGGGAAAGTGACATTAGCCAAGTCGGTTGCGTAACAGCTGAGCCATACAGCTGGATGGCACGGCCAACGGGCCACAGGGGCCATTTTACATTTTGGTTGAACAAGACTCAAACTAATAGCGTTCGCTCCGCTCGGCTGAGCATCTCGGGACAGGTGGTCCTGCTTCTTTGCAGGAAACGACCTGAGACAAGAGGACGCCACTTAGACAGTTTTCACTCTCACTGGAACCGGAAGCCACTTTTAAAGTAATTAGTTGGCCAAATGGAAGCCCATTTCGGCAAAGAGGAAATAAATATGTAGTGCATTAGTCATGATTAGAAATAGTAAGTCAAACAAAGCAGTAAATAAAACTCTATAAGGCTCTAGTGAACTTAAATGTGGTTTTGTAAGGGGACTGTCGTTTCCTGGCGTGCAGAGGTGTCAGTGTGTGTTCCTCGGCCTCTGCCCTCTTGTGTGCCCCATCTGCGTATTTGTTTGTGTTTATTTTCTCGTTTTTGTGCATCCAACATGGCTGGGTGCGCTCGGTGACCCTCACCCAGCTGTCAGAGTTTGGCCCAGTTTGACCACAGACACACCAAAATATACAGAGAACCAACATCCATCAGATCAGTTGGATAAAAGTATTGATCACCCAGCGGAGCGCTGATAACGGGATTTAACAGCTGTACAGTCCATCACACTCAATTACGCCGGGCCAGATGCTGACCTTGTGGCATTCATTATGCTGAACAACCAGCCAAGGGCTTCTCACAAACAGAAGATTAGGGTCAGTTATGCACCGTGGGAAAAATAGGGGGGGGGATATGATTGTGATTGGGGACGGTGACGGCCGCTGGCATCATCCTCTTACCTATCGCAGAGCATATTGTTCAACGCCACAGTCAAGCTGATTACTCACATTTGTCTCGTGTTGGATGAATGCATTTCAGGGTTAAGATGATTCTCTCTAACAGGAAATTAAACTAAATGGATGTTCTAAAGCGCTCTCTGAAAGGGTGCTGCCATCCTGATCTTCTGAAATCATGATTGGATGTTATAGCATCCAATAATTATTGAAAACCAAAAATAAACCTACCTAAAATGACAAAGACATCTATTTAACGACTATATTTTTCTGTTTCGTCCATGTCCCATCCTCTAACATGGAGGAGGCCTGGTCCATCTATATATCATCTGTTGGTTGGCACCTCAGGATCAGCAAGACTCTCCTGATATTATAAACCATCACCATGACCTAAATCCTCCATTTAAGCCATTCTGGGTCTCCTGCCCCTGAATGCATCACGCAGCAAAGCTGGTGGAAGATGCTACATTCACTCGCCTCCTTCTTTTTCTCTTATTATCTGACATTTTAAAAACAAAACAGTTGGTTAAATAGCTAAGAAGGTATTTGGCTAATTAATTAATCTCAGAAATCGTGAGTTGTGCAGCGAGTGACTATATTCTGAGTCATCATTCATTTTGATAATGGGACTAGACTTTTTTCTTGATTATTGTCTTACATCTTTTATTCAGCCCAGTGATGGTAGACAAAAGTACAAAATACGGTTTTAACAAACCAGAATGATCCTTTAATGATGAACCGTCTTGCTTTTCTCTTCATGACGATGCAGCTTCAGTGTTTCATCAAAAGCTTTCATCAAAGCTCCGAGGAGTTTTTTATCCTTCAGCTCGAGTGAAAAGATGGAAATCACCCAAGCTGAAGTTATGAGGCTTTGAGTCGTTTGTGTGTGCGTGTGTGTGTGTGTGTGTGTGTGTGTGACGTCTGCTGCCATCAAACAGATGGGACTCTCTTTTTCATCTCTACCAGAGGAGATGCATCCTCCCATCTCTTCCTCCTTTACTTTACCTCACCTTTCCTCCCTTTCTCTCTCTCTCCCTCTCTCTTTGAAGCCCTGCTCAACTCTTGAGCAATCTACCCATAATGCACCGTGATGGAGAAAATGCCCCACAATGAATACAGCACTTCTAAATTGGAGTACAGCCTCAGGCAGGGACCAGGCCGGCCGGTGAAATATTCACAAAGCTTTAATGCTGTTATTCCTGGCAGATGCACTGTGCGTCCTAACAGTTGGCGATAATCATGCTGTGCCACTGAGTCGTACAGTTTGCAGCAAATCAGCAACTATCAGGACAGTCGATGTATAATCTCTCTCTCTCTGCTCGCAATTTACATTTAAATCTGCTTTATGGGCAGAGAGGAAATCAATTCAGCATAAATTCAGTTTAATGTCGAGGTGACAGGTGAACGCTGCAGCTAAAGGAAAACACAGATGACATGAACCTCAGCGGTTCTGTGATTGTTTCAAATACAAATGCTACAAGTTCAATGTGACAGTGAAGCGTGTGAGGCGATTATTCTGCAGCCAACGCCCCTCACTTCGAGTCGTGGGTGTCGGGTGACTGACAGGAAGCAGAGCGTGATGGACAAAAGACGTCAGCCACCAGTGACAGGTCCCGTGTCTGTGCAGCGCCATTTTAGAATCATTCAGCAAATTGTTTTGGTTGGCTGTAGAATTAGCTGGTATATACGCAAACTGGAGCATTTAGCAGCCATATTTATTTCCCTCAGGGTGGAGACCAAACTTGAAGCTTAAAGAAAAGTCAGTTCAGGACCTGAATGTGTCTCCGCTCGAAATGTGTGATAACTTTGCTTCATATCTGCCGGATGTGTATCTTAGCAACCATCAGAGAAAACCTCCTCTTTTCCTGCAACTGTCTCTCTTTCATTTCAAAATAATACAATCTCAGTTTGACCCACATCCTAGAAAGCCTGAGCGTAAATGTGGATGGAGGAGCTTTACATTCCCCTCCTTCGATTTTCTTGTCTTTTACATCCTCTTTTGATTCTGTGTCTTTTTTGCAAAAATTTTGGGCCATTGCCACAATTTAGCAGCAAATCTTTGGGTTTTGATTCGAGGTTGTTTCGTCGGTGTGTGTGAGGGAGGAGAGTGAAGCGGCGGCGAAGGACTACGCTACCGCTGAACTGGGTCGTGGGTAACATGTTGCTATGGCAACTGCTATTTGCCGGCCCTAGGGCCAAGAGCTGATTTTCGCTTACACTTTCTCTCTCGTGCGCGCGTGCTCTCGTTCTTTTCTCTCTTCTGTCTTCCTCGCTCGCCCACCCTGCCTATTTTCTTTACCTTCTTCTCGCCATTTTCCTCTTCCCTTGGTTCTTCTGCCTTCGCTCGGCCTTCCTCTCAGTTCACCCCTGCTTTTCGTTCTCTCCTTCTCACACTCCTTTCCTGTGCCATCGTTCTCTCTTTGCTTTTTCTCCCACTCTCCCTCCATCCTTTTGTCTCTGCACATTGAAAAGTAATCTATTATCACTCTTTTGCTGAACTGTTGCCCACAGCCGCAAATTGAATTGAGTCTCATCCAGCAGGCAGCAGCAGCATTTTCGCTTTAAGAGACTGTGCGTAAAACATCCCCAGAAAAACTGATGCATCGTCCTCGCTCTGTAGATTGTCGAGATGATATACGATGGAGAATTGTTACAGGGCTTAACGTATTGTCTCAGCGATTAACTCCAGCTGGCTTGATGTGAGCACGGCGTGGGCCACGTCGCCATATTTCTAACTAAGAGCAGAGAAGAAGATGAGGCGGAGGCGGAGGTAGCGAGATGCAGCGAGGTATGAAACCAGAGCAATAGGTCGGCCTCGGTGTGCCACCTAAATTCTACTCTAATGAATAGCCCATTGATTTCCATTAGGGCCGGCAGGGGCTGACCACTCCGGCCCATCTGTTTCCCATTAGCATGCTTTAAAACGGAGTCTGACAAGCAGCCATCATAGCTACAGGCCGACCGGATGAGGGCCCCGCTCTGTGTTTTAAAAGCAATCTATGAATTCATCCCTGAAGCTGCATGGGGCCAGGGAGAAGACGGAGTTATAGTACCTGCCTCATGGCCTCAAGGGGTCTTTACAAGAGGCACAGTCAAACTGCATGAGCGATTTGTCTTTGAAAAAGCCAAATTCACAGCCGCAGGTTTTGTTCTCTTCTTTAAATAAAAGACGACAGGAAGACAAACCTCGTAAATTACCTGTTGAGATTGACCTTTTATAGCAGGAGGGAGTGTCAGTGTCGAGCGGCTTTTAAACAGCTTCCCTGTCATCATCGTATCGACCTGTGAGTCCATTCCTCCCCCCCCCTCTTCCTCCCGAGACCTGGCCTGTTCCTGGGCTCAGGATTTTCCCAGAGCCCTCCAGCCTTATCAGCTCCACCTCTCTCCATCAGCCCGCTTCCTTCATTAACATTAATAGGATTTGGATCTATTATGCAACGAGGCTCCGCTGCGTTACGCAACCGGAGAGTACTCATCAGCGGCCAAACACTTTGGAGGGGGAGCGGTCGCTTCTCAGATTTGTGGCTTTGTATTTGCTCAGATGTGGAGCGCAGGGGTTTCTGAGCATGGGCCGACACGTGAAGCCTCAGAGACGTCAATAACAACTGTCCACAGGGGTTGTAACACTACCTGGACAGTCGATTCAACAACGACTGGGAGGATGTAGAGGAGAAGAGGGTTTCAATTTCAAAATAAAATGACTTTCTCTGTGATGGTGAGGATGTTCTCCTGCAACCCAACTCTATATGTGTGTGTGCGTGGTTTAATTGCTTTCCATGGAAGGTCATCAGCTCCCGTCGTCAGCCGTCAGACTCCATCGATCGAGTTTGACGTTGACAACAGCTGACTTCTCTCATGCCTGTGTGCGCGTTACTGAATCTCATGTTCTCACTGGATCACCTGTCACACACGGTGCACGTCATGAACAACCATCACTGGCACTGAGTGTGTGTTACATCATGCGTTCGATATTTCAGTGCAATCTAATGTCGTCAATCGAGTTTTCGGGGCTTTTACAAATAGAATCGTCTCGATACAACAAACTTCTGAACATGAAATAATGATGATGCCTCGGAGTTGCCAATTGGAGCAGGTTGTCATGGAAACAGCAAAGTGGCACACACAAGACAGTTCTTTTTTTTTTTTTTTCCCAGAGTAACTTCCTGCTATGCCAGAGGAGCTATTTTTAACAGGCATTATATAAGACGCAACTCTTGTGCTGGATACAATGTGTTATTTCTTCTCGTTCCCTTCTATCCTCTTCACTGTGATGAGGAGGGAGGAGGATGCACGGCAGGTTTTCTGTACCTGCATATCTGAAGCCCATTACTCACATGGAGGGAGCTTCTCATGCTGCCTCAGTTAATGGAAAACAAATTTACTAATTCATCATCATCGCTGTGTAGAGAGTGCTCCAGCACGAGGAATCATTTATCGTTCGTCCTCATTAGGGAGATGTGGATGATGAGAAATAGATGGAAAAGCCGCATGTTCATCGCTAAAAAATCTCTTTTGTCTTGTTAAAGCTGCAAATCAATGAAGCTTATTCCAACATCCAAGAGAAAACAACAATATTTTAGAGGGACAACTGCCAACAAGTGCCACTTACACATCGTCCCTCCGGTGCCCTAGAAAATAGCTACAGTCATTTATTTTGAAATGATTTATTCAGGATGAGATCGTGACTTATTTATGCGGTCTGGTCATAAGGAAGAAAAACTTTTTGAAGTTTTTCTTAAAAGACAAACAGGAGATTTTTATGTGTGCACGCTGCACAGCTCACATGTAATATTCAGCACTCCCAGCAGAGCTCAAAGCCGACGCGCACTAACTGTGAAAGATGCTGTGATGAGCCGCTCGACGTGCCTGACAGGGAGGACTGTTGTTCTTCTTTTCTAGACTCGGGGAGACGAGCGTGACACGCATGCCCCCACAGTGTGATCATGAATCTTGCAGATTTCTTCACACGAGTGATAATCAAACAGCAGCGGACCACAGTCTGCAGAGTTGCGCCCTGTGTCATCAGCAAAGCGACTCTGTGAGGAGTCACGTTGCAGCCGTCCTGCTGCTCGTCAAAGGAAACATTTTGTTTGAGTCGGGCCTTTAGCCATTTGTTCGCTTTCACATCTGACCTGGATTGTTTCTTCTTGAATGCTCCTTAAAGCTTTTTTTGCTGTAGGGTCCAACTTCAGTTTGCAGCTAAATGCAACAGGAACATCTCTTCTGTTGTGAAGTAATCCTCCCCTCTCTGTCCCCCCCTGCAGGATGCTTCGAGTGCTGCATCAAGTGTCTTGGCGGGGTGCCCTATGCCTCCCTCGTGGCCACCATCCTGTGCTTCTCAGGCGTGGCCCTGTTCTGCGGCTGCGGCCATGTGGCACTGACCGGCACCCTTACCATGCTGGAGAACCACTTCTCCAGGGTCACCACCGACCACGCCACCCTCACCCTGGTGTAAGTGCCCAGCGAGCCTCAATCATCACCTTAAATGTGTATTACTGCTTTTTAGTGTTAATGTTTTTCTCTCTTTCCCGTGCACATGTTCAGGATCCAAATCTTTCAGTACATCATCTACGGCATCGCCTCCTTCTTCTTCGTCTACGCCATCCTCCTGCTGGCGGAGGGGTTTTACACCACCAGCGCCATCAAGAAGGAGCTGCAGAGCGACTTCAAGACCACCGCCTGCGGACGCTGTATCACCGCCTTCGTATGTCAACACACACACACACACACACACACACACACACACACACACACACA